GCATCTTGACGCGGTGTTGAGCAATAGGATCTGACAGACCCAGGATTAGATAATTGTGGCTAGATCGAAAGTCGTCCTAACTTACCGATCAAAGGAATCAGTCTGAAAGTTTCCAAGTTGTTCAGCCGAGTATTTCTATCGATCAACAAGCTGCCGAGCTCGTCGACGTGGCATTTTTCGGCGATATCCTGAAGCATCTCCTCGACTGCGCTCTGGCATCCTAGCTCCCAAGCCACGAATAGATTCTTGCTGTATGCCTGCATCTTCTTACTGCGCTGGCACATGCTCTTGAGCCTTTGGTACCACGCTGTCGCCATCGGCCGCAGCGTCTTGGTCATGTCGTATTTGTTGGTCAAGACGCAGATGTTGTAGAGCTCTTGAGGCCTTAGATTCAAAGGCGCATGGTCGAAGTTTGCATGTACGATGTCCATGAGAACAACAAAAGCCTCTGGGTCATCCTCGGGAAGCTTCACTTCCCAACGATGCAGGTCGTTGGCAGGCTTGGAGTCGCTGAAGTGGCCCCTGAGCATGGCGCGGAAGACCTTAGAGGCACGGCAGAGCGCGTTAGAGTCAACGTGGAGGGTTTTACAAGATGAAACGGAACCGACAGTCAGCCACAGATCTCCGCTGTCATCGAAAACGATGGTATCGGGCGACGACGCACCAGGCGATGTCATGGCGAGCTTCGCGTGCGTATTCAGGGCGTGCTAACAGGAGACCTTGAGGGAGTGAAGATGAGGAGGCCAAGGAAGGAAGAGCAAAACAAAACAAGAAGGTCAGAGAAGTAGTGTAAGCAATGCTTTCAGTTTCAACAGTGAAAATTGAATGATAAATTCGGCAGTTGGCAGTGTCAGCAGCAGTGGCAAGGCTTTTAACATTCACCTTTGGGCATCGGTGAACTGACTACCTTAAAGAGGTGGTATGTGGTTATACTTGTCTTGTTTTCACACAAACATGTAGTGGAAGAGGACCAAATGGGTTATTTAGAAAGACTTTGGCTCATTCTGGCACAAACTTGGTATGTAGCCACCCTCTTCTGATATTCTACAGCTCATATCTGGCAGGATCTGGTTGCTAGTGCTAACATGAAGAAATCTCCCTTTCAAAATAATAATGATGATAAACGTCCAGTAGGACCTAAGCTCTCCTTGTGTTCATCCTACATCAATAACAGGAGAAGATGCTTGTCAAATAAGACACACACGCACGCGCGCGCACACACAACGTGACTCGCCAAACACCAATCGAAAGATCAAACACCCCCCGTTCACCTTCAAACTTATTCTTCATCGTCATCGTCTTCATCCAAGACCCCAGGAATCATTCTAACCTTGGCAGCTTGAATTTGCAAAGTCCGGAGATGGCTCAAGTAGAGGGGATCGGCTGCCCTTCGAAGTTGTTGCCGAACCTCCTCGACTGTCTCGAGTACTGCAGGGCACCATCCGCACAAGTCGATGTGATCAGCCACGAGACTAATCTTGTACTCAAGAGTCTTTAGATCTAGGTCCGAGGACCGGAATATGTCGAGACTGCCCCCAAAGTGGAAAAGGTCGAGTATCCCTTCTTCGCCAGCCTTGCTTAGCATCTTGCCCAGCATCAAACACATTTCCTCTCGGCTGTGGGAAGCGCCGCACATGTGTCCCTTGACAGAGCTATAAAGTACTTGTTCACCTAGCTTCTGGCTCTTATACCAGCAAGTTTCTAGAGCGAGTTCGCGATGTTCTGCGATACAGTCTGCAAAGGGAGTTAGCGAGGTTCAAGGGAAGAAGCTTATTTTTACTTACCAAGAATAGGAATTCGTTGCAATCCTTCAAAGTTGCAAAGTGGCTCCTTGTTCTCTCCGATAACGAGCTGATCGTTCCAATTCAATGAGCAGTTGAGCACAACGTGGCCCATCATCTCGCTGAGCTCCTCCGAGAAACCCAATTCCCATGCAATATATGCCTTCTTGAAGAAGAGCCCGTAGTCCTCAGTGGAGGTACCCAAAGCCTTGAACCAGCGCTCAGCTACAGGTCGTAGGACTTGCGTCATCTCATACTTGCTGGTGAGAATGCAAGCACCGTACAGCTTCTTGAGTGATACCTTGGCGGGCACCTTCTCGAAACGTGTATGGATCAAATTCATAAGGACAGTGAAAGGGACAGGATCGTCATCCGGTAGCTCGATAGTCCAGTCGCCGCCATCTTCAGTGCCTTTTTGGTTAAGAGAAACGATCTCCTTGAGTCTGGGAGATACGCGGCTGAGGGCTCGGGAATCGACAAGCATAAGCCGCCCTGGGTTCTGTCCCACCTTAAGGTAGAGATCTCCGCTCTCGTCAAAGCAAATCAAAGGCTTTCCGCTCTCGTTAGAAAAGCTCTCGCTGGTTTCTGTGGATATGGAATAATCGTCGAGAGTATGGGCATGGGTTTCAGGATCTGTGTCAATGCCTGTGGCTTCCAATTCGACACTTTCAATTTCACTGGATCTAGCCTGAGAGGCCATTTCCTTGGTGATATAAGGTTCAGGGGTGAGATATTGGGATTGGAATCCATTGACGTTGTCGTCGAATTCATCGCAAAATTCGAACTCCTCGCCACTATCGAAAAACTCGAAATCATCAACGCCAGCCTCAGCTAAACCAGACTCACGAGTGGTGGGCGCTGTAACGAAGATCTGAGGGATAGTGACATCGGGAAGAGGAGGGGGGTTGGTAGTATTGTCGTCCATAGTGTTGTCGGTCGTTGGGGGTTCACTAGGAGACTGGTCTGTGATAGACTCATCTTCAGTGCCAAGAACAAAAGTATAGTCGGGAGTAGTAGGCTCTACAGTGCCGTGTTGGATCTTGGTCTCGATAGAGGGTGTTTGAACGTCGAAGAGAGAAGTGTCCTGAACTTCAGTCTTATCCTTGGGAGTCTCAACCTCGGGTGTAGTGGGCTGAATGGAAGATCGAGACCCGGTATCCGGGCTTGGTGGACTGCTGGTCACAGTACTATATACAGACTTGCCCCCATTAATGAAATCCATAAAGGAGCTGCGGGTTGGGATCGACCCGCAAAACTTTGCTTGGAGTTCGACGTTCATTTTGGCGGGGTGGAAGTAGAGTTGGCTTTAGAAGCTAAGCTATTGGTAGTTGAGAAAGAAGTGCGAGATGTAGTGAGTAGGTGTGTAGAAGAGGGAAACAAGAGTCGATGAGATGCGATAGGGAGTGTGTGGTTGTTGTGATTGTGGGAGAAAGAAAAGTGAGAGGAGAAGAAACGCAGAAAAAGAGAATGTTAGAGGCGAGGCTGCTGTGTACGTCAAGTGGCCCAAGAGGCTGTCAGTGGCAGCCGGTGGACAGTGACAGTGACAGTGACAGTAACATTAGAGACAATCAGTCGAACAATAGGTGCTAGTAACAAATGCAATTGATTGGCAGTGTCTTGCAGGGATCAATGTTCATTCACCAGGCGCTTTTGCGTTTTGAGCCTGTGTGTTGTTGGTGAACAATAGGGGGGGCCCTTTCCATCACGCGCAAACTCAAGATCATCCCAATTATTGGTGTTTATCTCAGTATTTGCAACAATATGTATATCGGAGCATTATGATACATTAATATACTTTTACAGTAGAGAGTGTTAGGGTCTAGTAGAACATATCTGGCTAAATATATATTGATATTTGACATCCCCAATTGTATCTTGGTAGTCTGTGTACAAATATCGTCCCGCTGTTTGCCAGTCAAGACCCTCGGGAATTTTTCCTATCTTAACTACGCTTCGCAAGTCTCTTTAGCAAGTATTGACTCAAAATGTAGCTACATCACCAGCTAGACGGCATATCTCAGAACTACCTGAAAGCAAACAGAGGCTGTTACCCAACTTGGAGAACCGGCAAGGGCTTGATCGGCAAACTAGTGGCGCTGGAACTTGTAGTATTTGATAAGATGACGGCAACATTTGGCAATGGGGTCTTTGAAACACTAGCAAAAGCAGTTTCGTCAGGGAGTACGGTCCTCGCCGAGGATTGGAAACACACACACACCGTCTGAGGCTCTTCTCTTCCTGTCGAGCAAGAATCCGGCATCATTGTCACACACATGTATATTCTGGGATAATATTGCCTTCATCTTGGTTTCTTCGTGCCCCAAAACCCTTCTTCCAGGTGACAAGCATCATTTTTCTGCAGCCCACGCTTTGGTGATCCTGGTGAATCCTTATCTAGGTTTAGAACTATCACGATGCCATCTAATTAAAGTTGACAATATTCCGTGTTTGTTGGTCAGGACGCAGAGTTGGTACGGTTATCGCATGTCATTAGTTAGTTAGTTGGAGATACAGCCCGTGAGTTATTGTCCGTGATCAGGATGAAACAATTCGTTGTTTACTTCAAGTCTTGGAGCTTTCCAATATGCTCGCAGTTACGAACGAAGCCCTTAAAATGTAACGGAAAATATGAGATGATCTGCCAAGAGTGCGACACCTGATGGGCATTTGTTGCGCCGCAGTACAGATAAGGTTTCCATCATCGATAAGTAATAAAGGCTACAGCCAGGGGAGAAGACCCATATACCATCGTGAACTTTATACGCTTGGTATTATGTTCCTAGTAGTCGGTCGCGTCCGAGAGGTGAATCTACGCTAGGGTGATGATCATGAAATATATCTACATCTGCGTTTCTGTGCCTTTAGTTATAAGAGGTTTCAGATTCAAGTCTTAAACTTCATAGAATTTTCAAGGGGGCGACTGCATTCGAGCAATCGAGGCTATCTCAAGTGATATTATCTCTTGACCAAAGCTGGTGATAGCTTCAACAGTGAAAGACTGCAATGCTCGAGCTTCCCCGCACGTGATATCGTATTCCCTGTTGTGTATCCACCCTTCAGCCCTGTATGGCCCGCTAATCCCTTTCCGACGGCGACAGCTTCGAAAGGATTACCCTTTTCAACTCTGACTATCCATCAACGATAACGGGGCCTGTGACTCTCTGGCCGTACCTAGTTACACCCATAACGCTATCCGTGCGTCCTGTCGCTTCTTAGATAATGCCCAACACGGGAAAGCCAAGCAAAGATTGCCATCTTTGTCGATCACGACGTGTCAAGGTCGGTCCAGCCCTTGAGCCACTTATTCTGTGCTTACGCGGTTATGTCATAAGAGAGATGCTCGAGCATATCAACCCATTACATATCCAATTGCTGACGACATCAACAGTGTGATCTTGGCAGACCATCATGCCAAAGATGCATCAAATATGGGACTGAATGTCCAGGATATCGGGACGAGCAGGAGCTTGTCTTTCGCAATGCTAACCCAACAACCATCAAGAAGAGGAAGAAGAGGACTCAGCAAAATGCTACGGCTCAGACTCGTGGGGAGTCTGTCATGTCTTTTGGCTCCTCTTCCTCCTCCTCTTCGTCAAATGGAGATGCTGCCACGCCATCAGTCACTGAAGAAGTTGATCGTGAATTCAGCCCCGTCTCACCCACGATAGTCGATCTTGTCGAATTCACCAGAACTGGAAGGGCTCTCATCCTACCACAATCCCTTAATGAGCATTGGACCGCCCATTCCATCCCGATCCTTCTCAACGTCTACTATACTTTGGATTTCCTCCATGACACATACAAAAAGAGCGGTCCTCAAGGCCCTCTTCTCTGGGCCACTCATCTCTTTGCCCGCACATACATCACCAACCTGCGATATCCCACCGCCATCGACAACGGATCTGTCGAGCAGACCGACAAGGAGCTTGGCACGTACCTTGGTAAAACCTTGAGCTCTGTTGGCGAAGCACTCAAAACACCAGAGGGCGCGATGAGAGACGATGTTCTCGCGACAGTATGGATTCTGACGAACTATGAAGTGAGCAACCTGACTTCTTCTCACCATTCTTATACTCATAGTTTAATAGCTTCTTATGGGCTCCATCAACCGCGTATCACCCCTGAACCCATGGCACCTCCATACCAATGGGCTATACAGTATTCTTCAGCAAAGGGGAACGGCGTCTTTGCGAAGGCCGGGATCGAGAATGGGCTTCTGGCCTGCTTACAACATGGTGGTATGTCGCTTCGATCTGAATTCCCACTCCCAACTAACAAGCTATTAGCAAGTGCGGTGTCTCCTGACAAGCCTTGAGTGCCCTCCTGAATCCCAGGAATGGTTTGCCGCCATCAGACAAACCCTTCATCCAGGAGAAGGATTGGCTGTAGAAGTCGGCGATTATATCTGCAAGATGGCACATGTTCAAAAGCGTATGCTCGATATCATTCGAGCCCGAGACTTTGACGCCGCTGCCCTCCAGTACTACGACTTGGTTGGTATTGTTTTCAAAGCCGAAGATCATTTCACGACTTTTGACGCAGGGTACCATTACATCGATGAGGTTTTCAACCCCTATCTACGAAACATGCTCAACTCGGCGCGAGTAAAAGGATACCATGTCATTTTGACCTACGCAAACTTCTTAACTCATCATCCGACTGCCCCCATTCCCCTGCAAGAGCTCAAGGTGCTACGCTCGCATTGCGTGTACCGGGTTCGAGACAGCGCAAAACTTGTCATGGAGGCGGTAAATCGGCATCTCGACCCGGCATCTTTCCGCAATAACCCATCACCAAGGACAGTGTTTGACGCGTTGAAATTGATATGGCCTCTGACGGCAGTCTACCTCGTACCGTCAACGCTAAATGAGCAGAGCGAAGCCGCAGGTGAATCGCTACAGTTCATTGGCCGTGAGCTTGGAGTGAGGCAGGGTCTCAAGGTTAACAAGGGGGAGTCTACACTGCCGCCGGAAGCAGAAGCACCATCACAGCTGGCTGAGGATGCGGCCTTTGATCCACTTCCAACTAGTAGAGGATTAATGTAATGAACAGAGCCTAGTTACGAGGAACTGTTCCAACAGGTGAATGCTGATCATTTCAATCACCGATTTCAGGGGCTCCATGTCCGGAGCAACTCCGGTGTCCCACCAAGAAAGTCCCACAAGAACGCAGACGGCTTCAAATGCCAGATCCGCTCCGGGTCAGTGGACCTGCTTAGAACTCCCGAGACCCGCTCCGTGACACCCAAAAGTTCGGTGTGAGAATCTGACCTTGCTACGATACCTCGGCTGGAGCCCCAACCTCTCAGGCGGCGGTACGAGATGCGATAGATAATACTGTGGCAAGAGCGAGGCCTCGCTTAGCTTTCAGCACTGCATGTCAGCGTGCAAATTAAGCGACACTTCATAGATCTCAGTCATATCCAATACCATCCTCACGAATGCGATCTATACCGTAGTCAGAATTGTGGCTTCATCTGTGGCGGGAGCTGTTGATCCCGGTTAAGCGAGGTGTGGCGGTGCGGTATGTCACTGCAGCAAGACGGAGAGGATGCTGTTTTGAAAGCGTAGGACCGAAAGGGAGGGACGGAAGTTTCCAAAAGGCCGTGCTCAAAAACATGCGACTTGGCCAGGTTGGTTTCTGGTCTAAAGATAACGTTGTACGAGAAGAGAGCATGATCAGCAAGGACAGCACGAGTCCGGCGGGTGGAGGCAGTGGATGGGTGATCCAGTTACAGCCCGCTGTTTTATTTTGATGCGGCTCGTGTTGAAGCAGCTAATTCTCGAAATGGAAACACTGCAGATTTTAAGTTGATGCTTGGGGTTTATGCTTTACTCGGTGCAGGCGTGACGTGCTATAATTATAGTGATAAACGTATCTTGTTTTCCGAGCGTGGCACACTGTACTTGCAGAGGCGGTCATCACCAATACATACAGTGCGACTGAAAACCGCGATAGCAAAACGGATGGACTGACATCCGAGCCAACCACCATCTTTCATATCATGATCCAGATCGTGATCGAACACAAGACAGCGCAACCAACATTCTACAATCCCTGCATCCTCTGCATTAGTTTGTTTTGGGTTGCTATTTGCATCTCTCTCCTCCTCTTACCGAGTCTTACCCCGGATTCCACGACCGTTGCGTTGCGTTACTACACGAAAAAGAAGCCATCGCAAGCCTCGGGATGGACAAGCAGCTGATGTTTTTGCATTGCATGACAGTATCAGTGAATCGGATCGTCTAGTTAAAACATCAACACACGGTCGGGTCCGTAGATCACACAATCCGAAACTGAACACTGAACACCAAAAAAGAAAATCAAGGCCACACCCCCGGGAGCATGTGAAGTCATCGCCACGTCTCTGTGACCCAATCATCACACCGTCGATGCCAAGACCCGTGATGAATCTGGTAATGAACGGCACTGCAACCGAACCCGAAATGCCAGCTCGCAAGTTTCCGGGGGAGCAATAAGATCAACAGGAAATGAAAGGCCCGTTTACTCACCAGGTTTGGCTCGTGTACGGATAAGCTTGTACGCTTGCAATTGCAATGTTGGTGTGTAAATGCTCACTCCTGCATTTTGCTTGGCTCGTCTCCTTAACGGCGGGGGCGTTTCCCTTGTTGGCCTTGCATTCGCTATATCCGGTTGGATATGCTAAGATGAGGATGAGTTGACGCTCATGTTTGAAATGTGCTTCTGTACTCCTGCCGCTCAATTGACCTGCCTAGTTCCTAGGTACTTTTTACAGCACATGTTGGTACATGGCTAATCGCTATTATTCCCAATGTCCGGGTTGGCTGGCTCGCTGGTATGTCGCTGCACTATCCGCGTCCCCATCTCCACGCCATACACGCGCGCCTTACACCAGCTACAGGCTGTGTTTCGCCTTGCCCACGCCCAGGTATCTCAATGCCTATCGAAGCCAAATCCAGACAAAGTTGTCGGGGAAATCGATGATGTAGTGAGCCAGGGGCTGAGAAACAACGGGGTGCTCCGCTGTCTAGGCTGTCTCTTGTTCTGTCAATCAATAATCGACATGATTTACGCAACGGCCTTCATCTGGTCCCCAAGTGGAGAGCCCAAGCTTTGTTGCTCCTCAGCTCGAGGCGTCGATCATTGTTGTATTAGTTAATTAGAGCTTCTGAATCTCTCAAAAGACCACTCCGGCTCCCCCTTGCGAACTCTCTGGGCCTCCCACTATCATTCCCTCTCTTTCAGCGCCCCAGGACCCTTTTCCTCGATCAATTGTGTATTTTGCCATTGAAGACCCTGTCCCTCATCTTCTGTCATATCAAAACTCGCTTGCAGGACATGATCCCTACAGAGTGGTATCGCTTTAAGGTGGCTACATCATAGTACTCGCCGATCCGAGCCACCCAGAAACGCCCAATTCCCTTGGTTACCAGTTATCGCCACAAGCCATCCATCATCCAACCCGTATAAGCAAGCAGGGAAGCGAGCACATGGTCACGATGTCAGTGGTTAAATCCCCTCCCCCGTCCCATTCGGGATTTCTAGCTCCAGTCCGGCCTCGTTTTAACTCCCAACGCACCTCGGATCGCCTGCGTGAGGCTCAGACTTTTGTAACACCACCATTTAAAATGGGAGGCGCTATTAAAAAAGGCAGAAGATCCGTCTTTAAAGAAGTTGGTCTAGAACACGATTTGGATTATCCCACTTCTGTATCAGCGCCTTCACTGTTGTCAGGCGAGCAACTTGGCACTCATGACAACGACAAACACTCGAGTGTTAGCTCTGATATCCTTGAATCGTCCAGCAACAAGCGACAACTCGAGCAAGACGACGACCACAGTCAGGATAACAACGACCGCCAACGCCCTCGACAGTTATCACTTTCATCGCCCAAGACTTGGTACACCATATTATCAAACCCCAAAGGCCGACCCAGAATCAAGAGCACTTCGGGTGTGTCCCCAGGCGTCTCGGGCCTGCAGCGCTTCACTATGTTAGCGCTCCTCATTGCCATTATACTTCCGGCATTCAGTTGGCGAAATGGTCATTCATTTTCAGATATCAACGGCGCCAATGCTGGTGTGATTCAGAAACGCGAGATCAGCCCTACCAAGGTTTGCACACGATGGGGTCTCCAAGCTGCCCAGTTGAACGGAACACTCTACTTATACGGCGGTCGCTCAAGATCAAAAGCCGACCAGGTCGAAGACACATGGAACAACAATTTTCTAACACTGGACCTCACTAAGGACTGGGATATAGGCTCGCCCGCTCTCAAGGGTCTCGAGAAACCGGATGGTCCTCCCGAGGTCTCTATGGGATATTTGTGGCATGATTACAATAATCTGTATCTTTATGGCGGCCAATTCTCCGATACACCCTATGTTGATCCCGAGCCCGAGTCTGTCTGGCGTTATTCCATCAAGAATGAAGAATGGACCGAATTTAAGAACCCCGAAACCTCAGCCGGCAATGAATCAGAGCCAGGAAATCGACCAGTTCACCGTGCTGCTGAGGGAGCAGGCCTATCTGTGCCTGAGCTCGGCCTGAGCTGGTACTTTGGCGGCCATCTCGATTGGGCCACCACCCCAGGCTGGTCGCGCAGTGTTGATCGTGTATATCTCAAGAGTCTTCTCGAATTCACACACCCAGGCTATGTTAACACCGGCGTCGATAGCCTCTCTGACGGCACAGGCGCAGGTGAAAGCGGGGCTTATCGCAACATCACAAAAGCAGGCATCCAGACCGGTAACTTCACTGAGAGGGCAGATGGTGTCTTGGTGTTTGTGCCAGGTTGGGGCGAGCAAGGTGTTCTCATCGGTCTCGCTGGCGGCACCAACGAAACATTTACTGAGGATCTCGGCACACTGAACGTATACGACATTGCCAATTCCGAATGGTTCCATCAAGAAACGTCCGGAGATACACCCAGCGTTCGTGTTAATCCTTGTGCCGTCATCGCTAGCGCGCCGGATGCGTCAAGTTTCCAGATTTACATGTTTGGTGGACAGAATCTTCCTTTTGTAAGTCGTGACAAGGTATAGGACATACCCAAATACTAACATGGCCTCAGGGAAACCAAACGCAGTACGATGACATGTACATCCTGACCATTCCCTCTTTCACGTGGATCAAAGTCGACCAAAACGACGACAACAGACCCGCTGCCCGAGCTGGCCATTCATGCGCCATGTATGATGGCCAAATGGTGGTTGTTGGTGGAGTAGGAGAGGACATTGGATGTGATCCAGGTATGTACGTATTCGATGCAACCACGCTCAAGTGGAAGGATCAATTCAAGGCTGGCAATCACGATTCGGACCATCATCCCGATAACTTCGTTCTCGCCGGGTCCCATGGATACGAGGTCCCGGACGCCGTACGCAAGGTCGTGGGTGGGGACAAGGACGGCAGCGCTACCGTTACGACCCCCGCTGTGGGGCCGGCTACGGGTGGTCCGTTCTTAACGGGCAAGCCCCCGGTTTTCACAGTTACCTCCGGGCCGACAGCGACAGTACGCGTCGGCCAGACTGGTACTGCAGCCGCCTCTCCGGATGGGGAGGAAGACGATGGTGGAGTTAATGGCGGTCTCGTAGCTGCAGGGGTAATCGCTGGCATCTTTGGAGCTCTCGCCTGTTATCTTGGTTTCTGTGCCTGGCTCTATCGCCGCCAAGTCAACGCCTACAGACAGCACCTCGCAGTATCAAACCGCTACTCTGTTGCGTCCAACTCCCTTCTCAACCCTTCAGCCCTTACTGCTGCTGGTACTACCCGCCCCAAGCGTGCTATCTCCCAGCGCAGCCTCTTTGGCTGGGTCGGCCCTAGCCGCGATCAGGGATATACCACAGAGCCCAAATGGAGCCCTGAGGATGAAGATGATACCACGCCAGGCGCTCCCGGGTCCAGCAGCGGGTCCGGAGGTGCCAAGCGCAGTGAGGACACGAGACCCGGAACGAGTCATAGCGGAGGCTCGACCGAAGGGCTGCTCGAAGGCCAGGAACCGAGTTTCTTCAGCGTCGTTATGGGTCCTCGCCGGGCGTTGCGGGTTGTCAACAATGCCGAG